TTTTGCCCGGGTGTCCTGGAGAGTCTGTCCGTGTTGCAAATACCCATAGTTTTGGTGATGTGGATGGAATAAACCAGTTGGGCTTCTGATCTGTGAGGCTGTGGTGGTTATGGGACAGACTGGTAGCCAGAATGGTATGAAGGAGGCTTTCTTTATTAGGTCATCATTGTAAAATATAAAAAAAACTGAGTTATAATGGCCTTCAACCTATCTGTGTGCTTACATCCATCCATCCATCCATCCATCCATTCATCCATTCATTTGTAAAGTAAACCTCTTTGAATATCACTGGGATATATCCATGTCTGTATATTTATATAGAGAGGGTTTTGTAAACTGTTTTTTCACTTAGTTTATTCTGAGTTTTTTCTATTTGTCTAGGTAATTAAACACACAGGAAGAACAGAATTTATTCATGGCTGCATAGCATTCCTATGCACAATTCATGGACATTTATTTAATTACTCCTTTTTTCATTTAGGTAATGCCCAGTTTTATCAGTATTTAAATAAATAACAAGGTGATGAGTATCATTGCACTTCTGATGATTTCCTTAGTATAATTTTTACAAATGCAATTAGCAGGTCAGAGTCTGTAAGCATGGCAAAGCCTTTTGGTAGACATTTCATGATTGTCTTCTAGAAGAGCTGTAGCATCTTATACAGCAACTGGGAGTGGATGAGTGGGGTAGTTTTTCTGTGTCCTTTCCAGTATTGGGAGTTCTAATTTAAAAAATATATTTATGTATGTCTTTCCCTCCAGTGTGGCATCACTGTGATTTTATTTTGCATTTCTTTGATGAGAAGTGGTGATGGTCTGTTTTTGATATGTACCTTTGGAATAGCCCAGGGATAGAGAGGGCTGCCTTGAAGGAGGAAATGGATTTCACTATTCGTTCATTTGTTCATTCATTCACTTATCTATTCATCGACATGTTAAGTCAGTCACTCATAAGTAATTGTTGAGTACATACTATGTATGTGACACTTGGTGTGATGACAGGAGATAAAGAGAAAAACAAGGTTGATGGTGATAGGAAGGTTTTAGCATCTATATGTGCAGTGGTGAAGTGCATGGGCTTTGGACTCCCAACTGCCTGGCTTCAAATCCTAGCCCTACCTCTTTGCCACTGTAAGACCTTGGGCAGTTTACTTGACTTCTTGGGGCCTCATTTTCTCCCTCTGTAAAATGTCATAACAACAGCATTACCTCACAGAGGGCAGTGAGAAATAAATGAGTTAACACCCTCAGAGCACTTAGAGTGATACCAGCATACTCTAAATTTTGGATAAATGGTAACTTATAAATTCATTATTGTGTCACTTGAAGTGCTTTACACTTATCTAACTTAAGTTTCAGAGTAACCCTAGGTGGTAGTTACTGCTATCATTCATAGTCTGTAGATGAAGAAATGGAGGCTCCAAGAGGAGAAGCAACTTTTCCTAAAGTTACAAAGCTAGTAAATGGTGGAGTCTGAATTCACATCCAAGAAGGGACCTTTCAGGGCCTTTGGTTCTAAGTCATGATGTTACTCTAGGGGGATGGACAACACATTTCTTAAGAGGGCAACAACAAATAAGGTACTGAATTTTCAGATTGTCATCAGTGGAAATAAAATAGGACAATGTAGTATTAATTAACTCCTTTGACAGTGTGCTTAGAGATGCATAGAAATGGAGCATGGCAAGCACAGGAGGCCAGAGTGGCTGGCAGGGATTGTTGGGCGGAGCTACTACAAGAGGAACTCACGCAGGTGGGCTAAGGATGCATCACACATGGCCTTGAGAGAACCGATCAAGTGTTTAGATTTTATTGTCAGCTTCTCAACTTGGCACTATTGACATTTGGAGCTGTAGAATTCTTTGTTGTGGGGACTGTCCTGTACATCACAGATTCCATTATTTATCTCCTTCCTGCCTCCCAAGTTGTGACAACCAAAAATGTCTCCAGAAATAGTGGGATGGAGAGGGAAGGGTTAAACTGCGCCAACATGGGCCGAGCCCGTGGCGCACCTTACCGGTGCTGGG